GGAAAGAGAAAATGGGAGATTAAGATAGGATGACAAGCTTGGATTGTTGATGTAATATTGGTTTAGGTGTTTGAATTATAAAGAGATTAAGAATGAAATTGGAGGGAGAATAAAGGGATTAAAAATATGGTTTATAATCATTTATGATTTTAGGATATTTAAATAGGGACTTCATATTGTTGATTTGAGGTTTGATTGAGGTTTCCAAATGGTGGTTCGGAATTTTTAACAGGTAAATTAATATCCATGATAGGCCAACCCTTTAGGGCTAAGGGCTAGCTCTTTTAAGCCCGCCTATTTTTTTTATTATTATCAATATATTTATAAAGTTATAAATTAGTCTTTTATGAATAAGTTTAAATTAGAAAAATACTTAGAAGAATCAATACTCAAGCTAGATAATTGAAAAGAAGTAGATATCTTGGACTTGTGGAAGAACAATTAAAATCAATTTTCAATTCTTTCAAAAATGATAGCTGATATTCTTAACATTTTAATCACCATAATAGTTAGTAGATCTTCATTTACCATCAGTTTACATATCTTAACAAAGTGTAAAACTTTTCTTATTCAAACAAATGTTCAGGCTCTTATTTGTACTTATAACTACTGCATAATTTTATTTTAGATAAGGTAAATGAAGACAAAAACCTTAATATTTTTATCACTGAAGAAGAGCTCACTTGTAGTAAAGAATAATCAAATATTGCTGATCTTGATGATACTGATGAAAATGAAGATAAAGATAATAATTATGTTGATATTGTTAATCTTTAACTACTAGGTTTTATCTTTTTGTTTTTCGTGTTTTGTTAGATTTTGATTTTTTTTATTTTGGACAATAGTTTATCTTGGACTTGTGGAAGAACAATTAAAATCAATTTTCAATTCTTTCAAGAATGGTAGCTGATATTCTTAACACTTTAATCATCATAATAGTTAGTAGATCTTCATTTACCATCGGTTTACATATCTTAACAAAATGTAAAACTTTTCTTATTCAAACAAATGTTCAGGCTCTTATTTGTACTTATAACTACTGCATAATTTTATTTTAGATAAGGTAAATGAAGACAAAAACCTTAATATTTTTGTCACTGAAGAAGAGTTCACTTGTAGTAAAGAACAATCAAATATTGTTGATCTTGATGATACTGATGAAAATGAAGATAAAGATAATAATTATGTTGATATTGTTAATCTTTAACTATTAGGTTTTATCTTTTTGTTTTTCGTGTTTTGTTAGATTTTGATTTTTTTTATTTTGGACAATAGTTTATTGGCATTTAATTTTTTTCCCTATACACCACTAATTTATTTTACTTATATTTATAATTTGAATAAAAAAATATTAGAAGTTTTGTTGTTTTATTTTTTATTTTAAAATAATTAAAAAAATTTAAATTTTAAAAAATAACATAAAAGGGGCCAGCCATTTTAAGCCCTAAGCCTGCATGTTTAAGGGCCAGGCTTTAATAATTAGATAATTTTAAGATATGTGGGTTTTAAAGGGCCGGTCCTTTTAGGCCCTGGCCCTTCAAGGGCTAGCCCTTTAAGGCCGGGCTGGCCCTTATTAACAGCTCTACAAACCATAATACACATAGATGGATATTTAAAGAAAGTTGGGATATATGTTGAGTAAAAATCTTCTTCTTGTTTCTAAATGAAATGAAAAGACGTTTCTAAATGAAACAAATAAATTTATGAGACTTATATTATATGATTAATTGACTGTTATTGGACAAAGTTTTTTCAGCATGAACAAAGTTTTCTCAACATGAGAGGAAAAAATTAAATAGCTGGAAAAGATAACATATATGATGCATTATTATTATCAAGTATAAATCCTCATATATATGATAGTATGAACCAGAACTTCATCAAAGAATACATTTATGAGATATTACAAAATATCTTCTAGATGCTATTACTAACCTAAGTGAATATTACTAAATCTCATATTCCGGCTAAAAATGTTCCAATTAGTATAAACAAAAGCGAGACACATGCTTGAATTATGAGAGATTAATCGATTTTAATATAATTATATCGGATAAAAAGGAGATGAAATTTAGAAGTTATATTAAGAAAGTATGCATTTTAGAAGAGTGTCAAGATATAACTAATTAAAAACAAAAACCAGAAGAGGTTCAGGTACTTGAAAAGTAATAAAGAGATCTTAATAAGTTATGTCATAAGAGGAAAAATGGAACAAAAAAGATCAAGTTGTTGACAACATTTTTGATAATAATATCACATAATTTTAAAGAGAATCTTATACAAAGATAGAAATTTGGCCAAAAGCAAAAAGGAAAAGTAAAAGACAAAAAACGCAATGGAAATATAATTATGTTATTTCAATATGTAAAAATTATGGACCTGCAGTCCAAACACATGAAATACAAAGTTATTATGTGACATATGAATATTTGTGTAAAAATAAAGAATTTCATAAAAGTCTAGTGATTATGATTATTTATAGTATTTTGCAGTGGATGCAATAATTTTTGCACATATTACTAGTTTGGCTGTATATGAAAAAACAAAATATGTGTTTGTTACACATTGTTATAGCCTATACACGTGGCTTACTAAATAATAAAGTTTACATTAGAATTCTTGAAGGATTTAAAATGTTAGAAGCATATATATATATAGAAGAAAATCATTCGATATTTGAAATATTATGTTAATTAAGGTAATTTGAGTATGCATATCTCGCTTAGAAAAATGTATTAGAAAATAAATAATTCTGTATCGTAGATCAAGTTATTAAATGCATTAATGATTGCAAAATAATTGATTTTTGTAATGATAATTTTTTCTACAAAATATATTCAACTAAATAGACTAGAAGTCCCATATATTTATTCTATAATAATATTTACGTATATTGTCAATATTACATGTTATAATTTTGTTGATAAAGTTAAGTTTCTATAGATATACATATGAATAATAAAATTGAGATTGAGTATAATAGTTCTAGGAAACTATTATATGCTATCATTTTGTTCAAATTAAATTAATCATATCAATACAAGATATGTTATAGTGTTTTTCAGAATAACCTTTCTTTGTAATTTCCTCAATGCAAGTGAAGAATAAATTGACAATTTCACATATACAAAAGATATGTTAGAGGAATACATTTTAATATAAGTTGCTGAAAATGTATTATGCCTAGTTCAGCTAAAAGGAAGATGTGAAAAAGCATGGGATGACTTGAGAAATTAGTATACTCTATCGTGATAAAATGATAAAGATTAATACTATTGATAGGGGGAATAAAAGTGATGTTGTCATTTCAGGGAGTAAAGATCATGCAGTACTTTTTTTTCTTAGCCAATATTTTGTCTCACAGGATTTTCCTTGCAAGGGTTTTAACGAGGCAACTCTAATACATATTGTGTACTTTTTTTTCTTCAAGTTTTTGTTCCAATGGGTTTTTTCTGGTAAGATTTTAATGAGGCACAATACTTATTCTGGACATCCAAGAGGGAGTGTTATAGATATTGTATATATGGATGTCCATAACCTTCAACTCTTAGGAGTCTTCATAAGATTCTTAATTTTTGAATGTCCTAAACCCATAACCTCCCAATGAATGACTTGAGAGGAGTTTTTCATATTTATTGTCATTATTTCCTTATTCATTTCTTTGTCATCCTTTGATTAGGTTTTAATGGTTGGGGCCTATAAATAGAAGCCATATGCAAAGTATTTGTACTCGTATCTGTGTATGAGAAATACTTAATTGTTTTCTCTTCTAATTCTTGTCTTGCTATTCTCTTTTTACTCTCTAACTTTCTTATTTTTATAACAAAAGAAAGATAGTATATCAGAACCGGTCTTGAGACACCCTTATCCTATGTCCTGTCTTGTCTTAAAACGTTCAGGATGAGATTCTCATGTTTCAAAATGGTTGGAACCCTTGGTTAAAAAAAATTAGAGGCTCAGCAATCCACCTTGGAGGGAAGGTGTCTTTTATTTTTATAAAATTTTAAGCAAGGTTATTTTAGTAATTAAACATAGAAACTTGTTTACACTTTTTGTGACTCCATTCTATTGGTTTTGGGCTCATAACCCATATGGTCGTGAGTATGAATCCTGCTACTGATGTGAGGACCTTGTTGGTGGGTAATCTGTAAGTATTTCTGTAAGAGTTCTTTGAACCTGTAGGCATGCCCTAGCCCCAGTGAGTCCCCATGACCCAACTCACCTAAACTTTTTGTAACAAAAAAAAAGATGACTCTCAAAAGAAATATTCAATTTAATAATAGTATGTTTTTCAATAAGAATTTTTTAAACATGAATTATAAATATTGATTAAGACAATTATAAATTTAGAAATTCGAACTGTAAATAAATATAAATCCAATTTTTAGTTTATAGCCAAGATTTTGTTCATAAAGATAATATTTGGAGACTTTTTTAATTTTTTTAAAAAATTTAACTGCATTAAATTGATCTTTCGAGACGTCAACATAATCTTTTTAGTAAAATGCACGGATCTCTCTACTAAGTGCTAACTCATCTTAATTAATAGATATCTTTTTTTTAATTTTCAAAATATACTATTTTGTATGCATTTCAGTATTTATAATTTTCATTGATTTTTTAATTTGCTACCTCTATCTTTGTTTCTTTTAATAAATTCTTTAATTTTTTTCGGTTAGTACCATTAGTTAGTGTAAAGAGACTAACTATACTAACATAAAGTTATAGAAATTAATGATAGCATAATAAAATTAAATGATTTAATAAAAAATTACAAATATCACGTTTTTTTTGACCTTGACATATAAATATCAAATTAAAAAGTTGAGAAAAAATATGGATACTTTAAAATGATTTTTCTAACTCCTAATCGTTAATTAGTTAAAATTGAAATTGAATCAGGACCTCTGCTGAAAAAAAAGAAGAAAGAAATTGAATCAGGATGGCTCTGCTGAAAGAAAGGCTTGCGGCCAGGCGGGTCTTAGTAGCAACTCCCATTTACCCTCTTCCTCACCTGGTCCAGGCTCCATCTCCCGCCTTTCACCTCCGGCGAACAAACAATCAGGCGTCTTAGCTCCATTCCCTCACTCAGATTTGCGAAGACGGAGTGACGACTTATCCGCCAATCATACGCAGCCACCTGCCTGTTTGATTTAGCTTATTCTAGCTAACCTCTTCCAACGAACCCATTTTAAAGTTCCCAAATTTCCAAAGGGAAAACTTAATTTTCATAGTGGTAGGAATGTTTGCAATATTTATACAGAGAGGTTTTGTCTTCGCTAAGTTTTTTCTTTTAATTTTTAAATTATTGAAGATTATAGATGCTGACTGTAGTATTTTCGATGTCGCAGGTCCTAATACATAAAAGGCCGCATCTTGATCTCCTTTCAGGATGTCGACGGATAAAGACCCTACCAATCTGTCTCGTACCTTCAAATACCTATTGGGTTAGTTCATTTGGCAAGAAAAAAGCTATTCATTTAATACTTGTTTGTTAAAGCAAATGTATTGTGGAGTGTGAATCGTCTTTGACTTCAAATATATTATTTCCATATAGTTTAGTTATATTTTTAAAATGTTGAGGGAAACATCAGGAGTATATTGTAGTCTCTATAAATTACCTTAATATCAGAGTGTAAATGAAGAATCGAATGCTGGATGGGAAGGCATGAAGTCGTAATAATTCAACTTTGGAGTATTGACTGATAGAGTTTTTAATAAACTCAATGCATGTTTAATGTTCTTACTGATCATTGAATTTTGTCAACCGCACTTTTGGTTAATCTTTCTAAATTGCCAATTTCTTTTGAGTTTGGATTTCCAAAAATGTTCCTTGAAGAAGTCTTATCCCTCGTATTTTATGGTTTTCTTTTGCGATATACTTTCAAAACAATGTCTCCTAGATAGTATGAGTTTGATGATTTGATATTTTTACTTTTGCTTGTGACATCACGCAGCTACTCAATTTTTGTCTAGAGGAATACCCTTTGTATTCAATACGTGGATTGTGAGGCATCTAAAAGAAGAAGACTACGCGGTATAAGTTTATGAAAATTTCTATTTATGTTTACTGGAGTGCTTTATTTCCTATCTTCATCTCTTGTGCGCGCATGTGTTGGTTTTATTACTGTTTACTGGAACCTTGTGTTTTCCTTCTATGCCAAAATTAACAAATTTGTGGTTGAGTTGTTCTTTCTCACTCTCTCTTTTATTTGCTTACGTTATTAGATGGTTTTTTTAACTGAATACTGCTGCTACTGGTACTCTTTCTTCTTTTCTATTATTTTCAGGGTTATTTAATTTGATGAAGTTCATGGATGGTCTACTGCTTTGTTCTCAGATCCTTTAGTCATAGATGATCACTTCCGTGATATGAGCTGATTTATTCTTATGTTGCATTTTTGCCCCTGATGCAGCTATATGCAGTGCAGTTTTATCTTTTTGTTACCTGTGTTTTGTTTCTTAGTCGAGAGGGCTTCCGGCGAGCATGCTTGCGGATGGACATGAAACGGTAGTACCTTATACTTTTGCAAATTTTGTTTTAGAGCTATTACTTTATGCTAGTGGAAAGTGAGACTCTAATTTTTTTGTTCTTTCATTATCTTGGCCGAATTAGTGATTTAGCCTTCCCATGGTTGACAATGAGCTGGTATTTAGCTCATGTTCTTCCGTTGGTATGTGCCTGTAATGTATTTTGCTGACTTTACTTTTAAGATCCCCTTCAAAAGGAAAATGCGGATTCAGTGTCAGGTCTAAATGTGTAGCACCATAATTAAGTGCTAATTGTGTTCATTTGAATAAGGTTTATATCAAGTTAGAGAAGTTCTATGCACTGTGCAGTGAAATCATCCGATTATTGCTTTTATTTGGTGTGAAAGGAACAGGGTATTGTTGAGTTATAAATCTCTTTTATATTGTAGTGATGGATCCTCAATGGAAGGAGATGTTGTGAAGCTGATGAAAGTAGCCTGGATGAGTCTCCCACTTGGAATAATTATTACAATTGCAGCTTGCTTGCTCGTCTTCTGGTGGCAAGAAATTAATATTTCTGGTCCTCAAGGGCAAGCTGTTTTGATCAATGGTAATTGGTTGAGTTTTATGTATACTTTTTTGGTTATTCTGTTTGTGTTCTGTGACTATTCAGCATGGGAGGATTTTTTATTTTTATTTTTATTCTTATTTTTTCCCCATTATAGGGCTCCAAGTGGTCAAACATAAACTTATCTTACTGGAATATTACTGTACACTAATATTGTAAAAAGAAAAGAAGAATTTCATATACTACCCTGAGTAGTATTTGATTTCTCAACAAGCACACCAAACCAAGCACTCTTGAACTCCCCAAACTATTGCTATGTGAAATTTTGTTTATTCTAGCTCACTTCTTATGTCAGGTTGCGCGTGTATTTTGGAGCTTTTGGCTGAACCTTTGTATATTCTTTCACAGAACTTGGTCTTGCTGGAATTGAGGTTGATGGTTGAGACGGTAGCTACTATTTCACGATGCATGACAATGTACATCCTTATTGTCAAACATACTGGAATGGTAAGAGTTTAATGGGAATTTACAATAAAATTTGGTCTTTATCATCCTTATTGTTGATAGCATAAAGTGATCATGTCCACCCTTAGTGCTTCTGCTCTCTCAACTTCCTCTCCTTTAACCCTCCATTTTAATTTACTTCATTCCGGTGGTATTAATTGCCAGATTCAGCTGTGTATTTCGTTTTTTTATCTATCTGTTTTCTTGGGGAATAGGGGGATCATCTAGTTTGTATTTTATTTCTTGTGTTCGTCCAGCATCTGACAAAGCAATAAGTTTTGTGGACCACAAAGTGCATTGTAAGTTTTAATGTCTCTATAAATTGATCTGATTCTGAGTGGAATGACTGGTTTCAGGAAAAACCAATCATATTTGCTTTATCACAGTCTGCATATGGAGCCTCCATATTTCTGGGCTATTGGGGCTATCTGGTTCTCTTCCGCAAATTCAGAAGTTCTCTCATTTTCCCATTCAGGTATATTATGTATATTATATATATAAATGGTTAGGTATTTTATCAATTGTATGTCCTTCTCACCATGGTGAAAATGGAATTGTAGATGTTCCAACTGGTAACAGATCTAAAATTAGGCAATGGAAGCTCAATGAGAAGATTGAGTAATGTAGGACTTAGATTGGCACTGCTATAGGCAACTTCCATGTGATTACTTTTGTTCTGCAATAGCTGGAAAACCTTAGTATTCATTTACTGTTAAAAGTGAAATATCACTGAATTACTTGAAACTTCAGAGCTGTAAACAACTGAGTAATTTTTTGTCCCTGTTGAGTACCAGTGAAACAGGCTCATGCCCATTCCTGTTATCTGAGTTATATGTGGATGAATTTGGTTTGCTTTAATTCTTTCATCTTCAATAGTGTTGAAATTTAAGGTTTAAGCATGCATATGGTGAATGGATATCAGATGCAAGAGAGAGGAGGCAGGAGTAGAGAGAACTAGAATGTCATATCCATAGCTCGTGTTAGAGTACATACCAGTATTTCTAGGTTAGAGGTGAGTAATAGAAACAGAAGAGGCTAACAAGAGACCAAACCTCAACTACTCTAATGCCTTCCCTCAATTCCAAGGACCCTTCTACATCTAAGTGAGTTCTGAACTAATTAAACATGGCGCTTGGAATTGCCTTGGTCCTCCTGTCGGCAACTTGACATGAAGCTGGGATGAGTCTAACTAGAATTTCTTTCCATAGCTCTTTCTCTTACAAAGTGCAGATCAAGATCAGTGTGCTTGGATCTAGCATAAAGTATTGGATTGGTTGTCATAATTACTGTACTTAAGTTATCACATTAAGTTGAGTCAGTCCGCTAAACTGTACCTTCAATTTTCGCAGCAAATACTTTATCCATCGCATTCCAGACATCATAAAAGCCATACTGCTATTTTCTGCCTCTGTGATTGACCAAGAAATAATATTTGCGCCAAGATGTATATAGAACCCTGTTGTACCATGTCATTGTAATCTGAGGCTCAATCAGCATCACTGTATGCTATTTTATTGCACTATTGCATGATAACCTAAAACCAGTCGATTTCTTCAAAGCTAAATAAACCCAAGCCTAGAACTCTTTATTCAAGTCCAAATTCTTCATTAAATTTTTAGCTACCTCACTTTCCTCAAAGTAGAAGCCCTGGTTCCTTAATAATAATAATCACATTGCCATACTGCTCTAGCTTATTCAAGGCCTTCACATGTGATATGGAATTGAATTGTGTATGAAGCATCAGTTTCTTAAGGATTTGATGTGTCTGCTTTGAGCAAAGGGATTGGACAGCTCTTTCATTTGTTTTTCCCCCCCTTTCTCTTTTTTGGATTTTGTTTATTTGTTCTGTTTCTAAAATTTTTGGTCATTTCTTGTTTGAGGATTTCTTATCCCCAAACTATTTGTGGATTATTTTATCTCTGAAAAACTTTCTTTTATACAAAACAAAAAATTGCAGGGAACAAAAGGTGATTGGCTTTGATAGGCAGCTGTCAAAGATGTGCATGCTGTTTACCTTCCAGTCCTTTCGAAAGTTGATCCTTCAAGAAGGAGAAAAAATGGTGCTTGTGTGGTTGGACACACCCTATAATCAAGCTGTATATGGCCTTGTGGACAAATTAGGTCAGTGAATACTCTAGAATGTTCCTTTTTTTATTGGGATGCATGGATTGCCCCAGTTCTTACGCATACATGATCATTTTGAAACTGTCATCAACTTCCAGGCAGTTTAGTGGTGAGGCTGGTCTTTTTACCTTTTGAAGAAAGTTCATATTCAACATTTGCAAGGTCTGCTTCAGGTTCTATTTCTCTCTTGTTCTCTCGATGTTCAGACCAAGAATATCAGTGCATCTTTCTCTGATTTTTTTTCTTTTGTATTTACTTCTAGATTGGTACAATTTAGCCTAAGAAGTCTTGGGAAAAATAGGCTTAAAAATTCAGGTAGGGATCAATAGGTGGGAAAATTCTGGAAATGGATGGGGAAGGGATTAGCATCTTCACTTTCTGTCATATCTGTTTTGTGCTGATTTTTATTTTTCATACACACGCCTGTGCGCACACACACAGTTTGCTGTTTTGGCGAGTGATACAACTGCTGTCAAATTATTTTCATTTTCACGGTTTGTATCCTGTCTTTCATTCCTGACAGGGAAATACCCAGATAAAGGCAAGAAATTAGGAAAATGCTTGATGGAATCACTGAAGCTAGTTTTGTTGATTGGTATGTCCTAATTATTTTATCCTATATTGAATGTTCTGTTTATCTTGTTCCATATTGTTTTCCTGGATTACATGATTATTTAGTCCCTATTATATTCAGTCGCAGCAAAAGGTTTTTTTTTTTTTTTGGGGGGGGGGGGTGGTTAATATCGTGGGGTTTCACCTCAGACCTCTGCCTATAATTCATCCCATTCTTATCACTTAAACTAGTCTTAGGTTGCTGGTCCCGACAATATCTTTTGGTCTTGTAGAAGAGAGCCTTCAAAAATTTGCTATGGATGTTGACTGGAACTGAACTGAAAGGCGCAGATAAACAAACTTTGAAAGAAACATGGATATCAAGTTTTCCTCAGAAAGATTGACACAGGAGTTAAAGTTTATCATGACTATGTAAATTAATGCATATCAATAATAGATGCTTCCTTGCCTGATGGGACTCGTCTGATATATGTTTTAAATAATTTTCTCAAAGGTAAAAATAAAGAGACTTAAACCTTGCTATCTATCTAATTTTATTCCCTCCTCCCAAACAAGGAATTCGGGAGTAAAGAAAAAGGGAAGTCAGACGATCCATCTGACTTTGGGTAACGCTTCCCTTCACCTAGATCTTGCTTGCTTAGATCCCCTAAGTATGTTTTATGGGGAAGAGCATTCCATAATAAACTGGCGGATGTGTGGTCTACTAATGACAACCTCTATTAGTATATAATTTGATTGAAAGTTAAGTAATTGATCATCTTCAAGGTATGCAATTTAGGGCATCTTGAATCTTTCTAAGGCCCTCAAATGATTTTTCTGAAGTTTTCCATACAATTGCTTTCTTTCCAACGTTAATAGTCACAACGATGCAAAGCTGCACAAATATGTTTCAGTGTTCTGACAATTTTCTTTCTCTCTTATCAAACTTCATGAGAGCCATACGCATTCTGCACAGATGTGGCTATTGGGGTTGCATGAGTAGTTGTATTTCATATTTTTTCTACTGAATAAAGATTTGAATTGCATGTTTTTGCCTTCAATTGCATATTCTAGTGATGTTGGTGTCAATAATTAGCTGCGCTTTGCAGGTCTTGTTTTTGTGGCATTTGGTCCGAGTTATTCTTATTCACTTATTAGATTGCTTTATGGTGGAAAATGGAGTGACGGAGAAGCGTCAACTGCCCTCCAGTATTATTGTGTTTATGTCATTCTTTTGGCAATGAATGGTTAGTGAGTTACATTATCTCGTTGTTGCTCAATTTTTGCATTCCTAAACCGAGTTCTTTATTATTGTTCACCTATTAATTGTTCATATTCATTGAAGCATTGTATATGTATCTACTCTTTTAGACTTGTTAGTATTGTGTCCAAGAATGTTGATTGTGTTTCTCTAATGTGCTTCAGGAACATCTGAAGCCTTCTTACACGCAGTTGCATCAGAGAGCCAACTCAAACGTTCAAATGATTCATTACTCGTGTTCTCCTTGATCTATATAATTTTGAATGTTGTACTCATAAGATTAGCTGGGGCTGTCGGCTTGATCGTGGCTAATTCCATGAGTATCCTTTCTACGTTATCATTAGGTTTTGAGGAAAATTTAGAAAAAAACAAAAATTGGGATAGAATATGAAGGTGGTGTTGAAGGAAGGTGACGCCCTTGATACAAAATAAATAAATAAATAAAAGTATTATTATAAAACAGTAATCAAAGGGGGGAAATGAAAGTAAAGGCAGCAAAATTTGGTTTGAGCAATAAACAAGATATTAAGGTATGTATTGATTAACTTAAAACTGATATGATTACTATTTCAACAAAGAAAAGCATGCCAATAATCTTTATGTTGATCTTTTAGCAATTCTGTGATATATATTTGATTCTCGTTTGATGTAGCAGCTTTTGTGGAAAAGAAAGGAAAAATTATTTTTCATTCCTTGACTTGATTAAAGATATGGCCTTGAGGATTTTATACTCTGCAATTTTCATAAAGAATTATTTCCAGGTATGGCTTTGATTTTGAGATTTTGAGACCTCATTCTGATATACTGGCGCTAATGGCATTCTTATAATTGTATTTTTAAAATTTGTTGTCCCCAGGGATCTTCCTCATTTTCTTTCCATAGCTGCCTGCCATCAGGATGGACTATTTTGTTGCTTTCAGGCGTAATCACGATCATTTCAGAGAAAATCTTTCTAGACCGAGAAAATTTCTGGCCAACTTTTGCCATCCATTTCTCCATTGGGCTGGCTTGCTTTTGCGTTTCATCTTATGTGATGTATATATTCTTGCTTCCTTTTGGATTGATTTATTTAGATTTTTGAGATGGGAAAATTGACATGCAAGTCCCTATAGTTTCACATCATTGTTAGTCGGGTCCATGTAGGTTCTTTTTTCTTTTTACCAAGTCCTTGCAGTTTCATCTTATTTTAATCAGGTCCTTGTAGTCTTCTTTTCTTCTTTCTATGTCTCTGTAGTTTTACATTATTTTTAATCAGGTTCTTGTAGTGTTAGAGATCTGGTAAAAGGTGGGAAAACTCGAAGAACTTGATTAAAAATCATGTGCAAGCATAAGGATCTAATAAAAAGAAAAAAATTATGGGCTCTGATTAAAATCAAATGGAACGATAAAACCTCAAGGAAAGTGGGGGGCTACAAAGACCTGATTAAAAATATAGGGATTTGGAAATTAAATTTCTCTTTAACATATTTAGTTGAATGCAATCTTTTGTTCATGATTCTGTCTTCTCGGCGTATTGATACATTTTTGTTACTTCAGCTATCGCAGGGAAAAACCTTTCGTCAGAAGAATAATTCGCTTTCGAGATCACTCAGACTGAACGTGCTTGCAAGTTTAGATGTAAGGTTAATTTTTGATCTCTCCACAACAGCTGACTTGGCTTCTTTTGGTCAGAACAATGAAGAATTTTTTTTTAAATTTTTTTTTTTTTTGTGCCATGTTCATTATGCTTCTGGGGTTAATTACTCAATACCCAATGGTTTATGTATGTTTCTGCTTTTATTGAGTCATAATGGCAATTTTCTTCAATCATTGAAAAATATCTTTTTCATTTTATTTTTTGTTCTATATGTCTGGTGTGTTCTAAACAGCCGTCAACTTTCTTTGCTTTCCTCGCGGACAAGACAATAGCAGCTTCATCTGGGTCACCATTTCTGCATAAGATGATGATCACACACACACACACACACCCACACGCACACGCACGCCCACACGCACGCGCACACACGCTCCCTCCCTCCCTCCCTCCCTCGCTGTCTGTCTGCCTGTCTGTCTGTCTGCCTGCAGCCTCAAGTAATTCAAAGATATTGAGTTAGAGTTTGAAAGAAATAGGAATGGAGCCCCACCCGTATATATTGGATCCTACAAGAGTGGATCCCGCTTTTGTTTTCCTTTTTTATTCAGACTTTTGTTTTCCCTTTGCCCGCAGACCAACTTCATAAAACATTTAAAAAAAAAAATTCATAAAACATCTCTTAAAAAAAACAATTATATGCATTTAGAAATTCATGAATTTTAATCGGTTAAAAATTGAAATAAGAAAAAAAGATGTTTAATTTTAGTGAATTTGCCGGAGTTCTTGGTTTGCATTCAAGTTTATGTTAAACATGTTGTGGATTCGGTCTTCTATTCTTTCCTCTCTCTCTCTCTCTCTCTGAAAATACATATAGATATCTTCTTATTATAAGTAATCCTATTCGAGATATAATTGGGAATTAAATGTGAACACACTTTTTTATAGGGATTTAAATTTTGGTTCATTACGTGTTTTGTTAGACCCGACTCATGTTGATCTTATTTTTTTAAAGAGTGAGATATCTTACTATCTTAATTAATGGCTTGTTAGTATTATTAGTACTATTGTAACATTAGCATTCTACTTTGCAAAAACAATTCGCTTTCTAATCCAAAAACATTTTAGTATTTTAGAATTCTTTAAGATAAAAATACGTCTTTAATCCTCTAATTTTATTTAAGATTTCAATTCGGTCCTTCAATTTTAAAATGTATTTTTATTTTTAATTTTTTTAATCCTAATAATATTAGTCTGAAATAATAATTTTTTTATAATAATCATTGTTATTCTTTTGAAAATTAATATGTTAACAACCTAAAATATTCTCACATTTAAAATTTTAACGTTTTAGCTTCTTTTTTTTTACTACTGTTGTTAGAATTAAACAACTAAAAATGTTTTATAAAATTTAAAAATATAAATTTAAAAAGAAAAAATATTGAAAGGAAAAACGAAACGTTCGCTATGCTTTAATAAGCCATTATACCATGCATGTAACATTGAACACGCATCATTCATCAAGAATTCTGTATAGCAAAATATGTTGGGCATCTAATTCATCCGTTTGATATGCCTAGTTCAAGATTTATGAAGTCTCGAACAAGTCCACTAAAGACTAATAAAAAATTATTAAAAAAAACCTCAAAATAAATATAAATAGAACCATATGGTCAATCAATACATAAAATTATACTTGTTTTCTGGCCAATAATTAATTTTTCCACATGGTAAAGCTAAATTTCCAGCCTATATTTCTAAACGTCTCTTGCCACTCTGAATGGGATTCATCCCCTTGATGTATTTTGAATTTGTGGAAGCTTCATGTGGCTAAAGTCCTGTATGTATTCAAATAGAAAATCAAACAAAGCTCCAAGTCAACAAAACATGAATTTTTATTTATGCAAACAAATCTGGATCAGCTTCTCTTTATTATCTTTCCCATCCAATCCTCTTCCACATCCTATTCCAACCATTGGATCGAAATTTGAAAAATTCATATTTAATATTTTATAGAATTATTCTTGAAATGTTAAATTATAAAATAAATAAGACAAGTTAGAAGTACAGTAAAAGAAAGAAGAAAAATATTTTATAAAATGTTAAATTTAGTCCGTTCAAAATTTGATATAACGGGTGGTATGAGGAGGAGAGGAAGCGAGGGGAAAAGGTTCCGAGTATGAGTTTTAGGTGTAAATTAGAAGGGTTTTCAATTAATATATTTTTTATGGATCAGAACTACATGGTCATTCATATTCTCCATCCACATAATTATGTCTTATAGCAAACACCTAAAGAACTTCACCAGATTCTTACCTTTTATTTGTCAACCACAAGTAGCTATCAAAGCCAAACCAAGTCATATGAACCCATACATGACAATAATACAAATACGAAAGCACACCCACCTCAAGGTCGCAGACTCGCAGTTTGAGGCATTCGATCAACAATATGAATTAGTGACTATAATTCCGATTCTTATTCCAAAACTCCAGATGTTGATGACAATGCTGCATCATCCCGATATCCTTCATGTAACGAAGTGCCACTTTTTCCCAACGTTCCTTATGATTCATAAAATAATAATGAATTTAGGTAGGATTATCCCAAAGAATGGAAGATAGAGTCCCTGTAAAATCAAAGCATCAAACACGGACAAACCTACAAAACTTCCTTGGCCTCTTTAGAGGAATAAACAATAATGGTCATCATTTTGAAGAATAAAAGTGCAATTCTATCTCATCTTTAATTCAATGATGTCAAGTTTATATAGAAAATTAGTATTTAGCAGAGATCAATATGTGGGTTGATGCTGCAGATTCCAATTCCAGGATAAATGTTTACTTGGGTATAAGTCATCATCGATCCATTGCCTAGAAATTTGAAATGCTTGCTTTGGTTTGGCTGAAAGTTAACCCACAGAAAGACATCATTTTAACCAAAAAAGAGAAGAAAAGAAAAGAAAAGAAAGACATCAACCAGCAGGAAAAGTTATCATCAAATGGAGGAGTTACAGACAACTGCGAAAGGTCCAGCAACCAAATACTTCAACAGCAATTATCTGTTCCTTTCACTTTCCTAAGCAATCAATTGTTATTATTAATTCAAAATCTCACTAGTTATAACTGCAAATGTGCACAGTCGCTGAACAAAAAGACAGCACTACGTTTTTTGTGTAATTTTTTAGCAATCCCTTGAGATAAACCAGTAAGCTTTTAACACTCTTCCATTAATTTGTAAGTTTAGTCCAAGAAACTTCTCGAGCTTAAGGCATATGATGCTCACCACATTTATGAGGAACTACAGTTTCACGTCGTGCTTTCCCTCCCGTACGTTCACTGCTCACTGTTCTAATATCGTCATGACCATGTTTGAAACGAGAACAAGATTTCAAAGCAATCTGAGCAGCAGCATAGTGACACCTGAACTGATTTTTATCCACTGGTACCATCTACATGAATCTGGAAATTGCTGCATTCCAAAAATGACCAAAATGTCACTCCACACAAGCGAGAACCAGCAAATCCAAAAAATCCCAGAGTGCTTAAAGCTACTAGGTGTGGACAAGCAGTGAAGGTTGTCAGTAGTTAGCAGGACATCTTAGGTTCAAACTTTTGATCAACAACATAATCCACGAAAGCCAGAAATGCTTGTATGTAAAACATGGGACCAGTAAACTCCATTGTTCTCACCAAATCCAGCAATTTGTTTAACTATTATTGTCGCAAGTTCAAAAAAACAGGGCAGAGATCAGTGTCTAGATTAAGAAAAATTTGAACTTTGGGCAATAAATAAGATTCCGATCAATTTAAAAAGCACAACTTTCAATGTTGAAATCTCCAAACCAATACAGCAAAATGGAGACGAGAATTGAGGAAAACGACACTGTATGTTATTACTACTCTGTTGTGGTTCTATTACGACAGATTCCAATATCAAGTTGTTCTCCACGGTAACTATAATTATCCAAAATCAAACTAAGCTTGAGTTCAGTATCTTCAAAAGAACATAACTGGTCAAAGCCATGTCAAGTCGCAGTCAATTGCAAATAATATATTTTCTTTTTTTGGGAATTGAAAAGTGTACCTAACACTAAGGTTCAAAAACGAAGTGAAAATATCTTGCAATATTTTCAAAGTACAACAGCAAGAAATACCCCAACCAATAAAGTTTTTGGCTTTAAATTTTGTGAGCATGATATGCGTTAACAGCTGACACACCAACAGCAAACTACAAAAGTGTGATCTGCGGCACAGACTCAAAATAGGATGAAGTGCAAATAGCAGAATCACAAAATTCTTCAGTTCTTGCTGAATTTTCACCAATGCGTGCAGCAACAATTCAAGCACATGAAAGTCACCATATGCATCAGATTGCATCATGCAATTATTGCACAATAATGATTACTATGATTAGAAAATCTAGAATAATTAACCCAGATGAGAGAATATTTAAACTTCTAGGCACAGTTTTCAGCAAAAGGATTGAAAAGGTGACAAGACTGTTTCATCAAATAGAATCATATTGTACAAGTAGTTTGCAGAGACACGCACCTAGAGCATTTGTCACTCATATGAGCCCAAACATGAGAAGCACATTTTAGTTGAAGTCTGCTCCAGAAACCAAAAGAAGACTTTCAATCAAGCACAGCTTTCTTTTCCAAAGTGTGACTCCGCAATGTCTAAATCAATGGGCATAATAACGTATTTAGTGAAGATGACAGCAATGCTTACTCATCAACCAGTCCTGATAAAAGTTAAATGCCATGACTGGTTCTTCCAGTTTGCAGTATTTGTTAAAAAGAATCTGAACTGGAACATGATCGGTCAATAAACCAGATTTCTGTATTTTGCCAAAAAGCTCTGCTGCCTCTTTTATGTTATCTCTAATGCAGTACCCTCTAATTAGTTCAGTGTAAGTAATCAAATCTGGCTCATATCTCATTTTGAGCATCTCATCAACTAATAGAAGTGCAACACTAAGGTTGCCTAAATTGCAAGCAGCACCAATCAACAAATTGTAAGTAACCACATCAGGATAGACACCATTTAAAACCATATCTTCCTTCAGAGAATAAGCATCATAAAAGTTCCCAATCTTCACTTGCGCATTAATTAATACATTATAAGTAAATACAGTGGGCGGAACACCAAAAGCCAGCATCTGATCTTTCATAAAGAATGCATTGCTAAGATCTCCACATCTTCCATAACAGTCAATTACAAGGTTCCATATTAAAGGCTTGGGCACCGTTATATAATCCAAAATAAATTGAAGCAATTGTTTGGCTCTAACAGCATATCCATTCAAACAAAGGCCCTGTATCATAATATTGTAGGATATTTGATCAGGAATAATTCCCATTTTAGACATAACCCCAAGAAGATAGCAAGCTTCATCAACCTTGCCTTCCTTGCAAAGGGCGCTGATAAGAGTATTGTAAGTAAACACATCAGGAAGCAAACCTTTCTTAATCATTTCACAAGCATATCCATAAGCAAGATTCATTTTTTGACCCATACAAAGTCCATGGATTAGAACATTGTAAGCAACAGCATCTACTTTTACATTCTTCTGAAGCATCTCATCCCAAAGACTAAGAGCTTGAACCATAGCTCCATTCTTAAAATGATAATCCATAAATATGGTAGAGGTAACTAAATCTGGTTTTCCTTCACCATCATCATCAGTTAATAATTTTTCAAAAAGCATTTTAGATTCTTTCAAAAGGCCTTTCCCACAAAACGCATGCACAAGAATATTACATGTTACCCTGTTTGGCTGAATACCAGCATAGGCCATGGTCGAAAACAGATGAAGAGCTTTATCTAAATTATTAGTGAGGCAATAACCCTTTATAAACGTGTTGTAGGTAGCACGGTTGGGAGAGGGGCCCAGTTCTAACATCTGTTTAATAAGCCAGTCTGCTTCCTCCATTAGACCCATTTTACACAGCCCATTCAACAGATGGTTGTGGGTAAATGAATCAGGAAGAAAACCTTTCTGCACCATTTTGCTCCGAAGCCATAATGCTGCTCCCAATTTACCTTCCAAGCACAATATTCTGATGATGGTTGTGTGTTCAATGTAGTTAAGTTTACATGTAGATCCCGCAAGATCTACTTTTGCCAAAGTTATGCATTTCCTGCAAAATCTCATGTATGAAACAGACATGTCATTCATTCTGGAATTTATAACATCTTCCATCGAAACAATCATACACATACACAGAAAATAGGTATGCATATATACATGTCAGTAGTTCTCCAAGATTGCTGTCAGAAAACACTCCCTCTTCCATGGACTTAGAAGAGACAGCACAAAGAAGAAAGTAATGGGCACAAACCCTCAAAAAACAGTTAAAGAAACTGCCACCCAAAGAAATTGCTATAAATTTATACTTTTAAATAAATGCAAAAAAAGAGATGAAACAAAAACCAAATAGTCCTGTTATATTGTTAGAAAGAACTACTTTGAAGTTTACCATGACACATCTCTCAAATTCTCCAAAATTTATAATATCAAAGCTCACCTCATCTTCTGCAAACGCTCTAGACTGTCCTTTAGCATATTATCCAAAGCATTGAAAACAGCTTGTGGCGCGTTCTTTTCACCAAAATTCCTCTCTCTTGACAGATTTTCAGCATCTAATTGGCACTCTCTTCCCAAATTTGACATCAAATCTTTGGTAAATGATGAATGCATATACTCTTCACAGAGAATCCTACATATAAATAATGAAAAGATTAAGATAATAGTGAGCCAGAAGTTGCATCCACAATCATAAGAAGTGTGTATAGTGTAAGAGGAGACAATCCAGAGAAGAAAAGGTGGAAGGTATAAAAAATATATTGATAACTATTCCTCTGTTCTCCAAGTAACAAATTTATAGTTTAGATTTCTATCTCTTCCCTTTTTACCATTTAGGAAATCAGCCAAGCCAAGTTGAATGCCAATATGACAGTTTCTGTTTAAGGCATAACTTTATAAAACCCTATCCATCACCTTACTTTTATGGCAATATAACAGAGTAAAAGATAGACTATAGGGTTCCCCCACCTCCCCACCACACCAAAAAAAAAAAAAAAAAAAGGGAAAAAAACAAGGAAAAGAAAAGGAAAGGGAAGGAAAAAACAAGAAGAAAGGAGAAAAACTAAATGAAATTACCTGCCACTTCTATCCTTCCTTGGTTGGGAGCAGAAAATGCCAGCAATGATCTGGGCAGCATCATGCTTGATGCACTCAAACTGATTCAAAAATCTCAAGAAAGCAATACGGACATGCAGGAAATGTGACTCTCCAAAGGCAGCTAATAGCTGAGACAACCAAAACAAATTAATCAGCCACAATGCTGTACAAAATCAACATGTAGGGCTATATATCATCAATCTTTAGAAAGAGTTTCCACTCACTGCCATCCAGTTCACTCAAATTTGTTGTTGTCAATTTATATTAAACAAATTGGAGCCATCTGCAAGTAAAATAAATAAATAAATTTTCAGCCAAAGAGTTAAAAAGCCTCTGATTATCACATATATGGCAAAACACGTGAAACATGTGGCCAGCCAAGCACAATATAGAGATAACAATTGCTAAGATTAGTTTGATTTCAAAAATCAATTCAAAAACAAAAAAAGATTGATACACAAAACAAATCTGATTACAATATCGGATCATAACATTAAAAGTGCATTTGGCACTAGTCATATGCCTAAGAGGTTACAAGAAAATCATGAAAAATCAAAGGTGTCCAAAAACAAATTCAAGATAAACTATTGGTGAACAATAAAACATGATAAGTTAATAAGATAAATACCAGGGAAAAGACATACATGACTAAAATAATACATACTTAACAGAAAGATGCATAGTTTTGTGCAGCATAAAATAAACTACACAGGTTGCATGGAGACACAATTAGATGGATAGGGATTCAAATCCTAAAGAGTGTGAGGTGGGGCAAAAAGGAGCCAAACTCCATCTTAATATATTCGATGTGAAGGGATGTTTGTGTCTAGTACACAAGTTTCCAAGATGCCCAACGCCATGCAAGATACCAAGAGGCATAGATGACACTACTTTGGGTGATAATCAAATTATGATATCCAAGATATTTAGGAATGTAAAAAATTACTGTACTGAACAGATCCCTAAATGATATAAGAATCACACAAAACCGAGTAAAGGGGTGAAATATGATAGGAGGACACAACTAGACAAAGGTTGGTGGCTGAATGCTAATGTGTCACTTCCTAGAGTTAAAACTCCGACTATTTGAAATAGAGGCATGATTTGACACCAAAAGGAAGAATTATAAACAAGCAAAAGAGATTATGCTCTAACATCGTAAAGAATTATTAACAATATCCCAGAAAGGTTTGGGTTACCAAAAACAGAATGTATGATGAGCAACTATGGCTAACAAATGGGACAGAAATTGCTTTACTAAAATAAGTTAGGAACTTGCCCTTGATTTCAAACTCCATAGAAAGTATCAGTAACCTTGATTTGGACTACCTCAAACTTCTTAATATTGCTTAAATAGTGGCCCAAAAGATCAATGAAATACCATAGAGTCCTAATAACTGTGTTAGAAGAATACAGGTACCAACATAAGCAAACAAACATCTGATGTAATTATACTAAGATAATAGATTTATGTGAAATTTCATATTTTGATAAGATAAACAGACATAGCAAAAGCAACTTTATATGTGTGTGTGTTTACAACGTCACTTTTTCAACAACCAAAAACTGACCCACAATGCTCCTGTCATATTTAGGAGAAGTAACTGACGCTAGCCGGTTAGTTTCTACGTATTACTTGACTTACTGACTTCTTAGCAGTAATGCAACTTTGACCACACTAGACCAACCACCCTCACCGCCAATTCAAAATATCCCTCACTCAAAAGGCAAGGTAGGATCCTTTTAAGTCAGCTAGTGGCCATATAAATTTAGTACATCCGAAAAGAAATGAGCAGAGCATAAATAATGAAAGACAATTGGCAACAATGAATGTTTCAAATACATCTGAATGCTAAGATAACATATAAAATGAAGTAAACAAATATGCATTACATCCAATGGTATAGAACTAGACCCAGATAAAATATAAGGAGGAGGAAGCCACAGTCATCTAATCACACCTACAAACCCATGACAAGTATACACTTCCCTAGTACATTATTCTCAATCAAAAGATATAACCTTTCCCCAGGACACTCAAATCAAAAGGGATGCCAATGACGATACCAAATGCTCTCATTGGAAACATTATACCCCCAACGGATACATGAGCTCCTATTAATGCACTACTGAATCTCGAATTAATTGAAAAATGAAACCAAAACCTACCATGGATTTAAATTGAACTGCTTTAGTTTATGCCTCCGAGGAACGAACGAGAGAGAAGAACAAAAACTAAAAATGTATCGCCTCCGATGGAAAATCGCCAGACCCGAATTCTCACCTTTTTCTAAGTTTCAAAAACTTACTCGGATCTGCAATGAGAGTAACCTTGGATCCTGATAGCTTCTCCTTATTGGCCGCAGGGCCAGCATTCACATGACACACTGGGATTCAGTGGGGAAAGAAAAGAGAAGGCAAAAAGGGGCCTTAGAAGAAGGAGAAGCCTCCGGTAACAGTGGCTAGCTTGAATAATGTGCCAAGCAAGATGGAAAACCAATCGGAAAGACGGCGACAGGGACCAAGAGCGTCGACGACGATGAGGGCTTTACACTCCGTTCCCTATTCGTTTTGCGCTATGGGCCGAACTGGGTTCGGATGTACTTGGGTCCAACAGACCGAACATCGCTTGCCGTTGTTAAGACCAATGAAGGGATATCTGGATTCGAGTGGCTGGGTTGACATGAAAACCGATAACTTGGTTCCAATAAGCAACGAACCCAGGACCTCCTTGTTCTCCGGATTTCGGGCTAATGGAAATAGAAATACATCGATATTAAAAAAAATGGATTCAATTAGTTATTTATAAAAAAATATAGCGTGTTTTTCTAAAACAATATTTTTAATTATTTGTATTAAAAATTTAAAAAAATCATTTAATATATGTAATTAAAAAGAAAAATTTAAAAAAAAATTTATAATTGATATTTTACATTTATAATTAAAATTAACTCATCATTTACAGTTAAGATAAAGTTTGTTTATTTTTTAACTTAGCCCCTAAGTGTTGTTTTGTGTGTTTAGAATAATGTTAAAAATCTCAATAGTTGGGAATAAAGCTAATCAATAAAAAAAATTATATTTGACACGACTTTAAAAACAAATTATATTTTAACCAAAAGCCACCTTGCAAGTGAGGTAACTATTTCTAATTTTTAGCTTTTAGTTTTAAAACTGTACAAGCTGACCTTTTGATGTGTCATATTATTATTTAAACAAGTTTTAATTCAAATAATTTTTTTTGGGTGAAATTAATTCAAATAATTTTGTTAATAAATTACGTTGTACACATAAATTACGTTATTTTAAACGCTAAATTACATCTTAAACTGCCCTTTCCGGTCTTCAGCCGCCCATGTTCGGCTCTCTTTCACTAGTTTCACGGATCTATCGTAGTCCCTCCCTAATTCCTCAGTCTTACGCTCCATCTCCCCGGTTTCCTATCGGTGCCGTTGTTCAGGAGGAACTCATCGAGTCATAACTTCTAGCGGTTCGGATCAGACATCGGCGGCGGCGCCCCCTCGTCCGATAAAGAAGCTCAGGCTTAAAGGTTATGATCTATTTGTGCTTCCATCTGCTTCTGTACAAACCTTTTGTATGATGTGCGCGATGATGTGCTCTTCCATTGCTGAACCCCAAAAAAAAAAAGTTCTTAGTAGTTTAGAGCGTTGCTCAATACGAATTTAGGATATTGTTGGTAATATTGTAGTGTAGGAGGTAATTACTAATTCAAATTCAAATTAGCTAGAAATTCAATATATGTTTTGGCCGATATGTAAAGAATATTTCCTTGTGTGTGTGTGTAATTGGTGGTATTTTTTTTTTTTTATATCATATATGAAGGATCTATTGATATACTTGTGCATTGCCAGTGTCACAATCTGGTGGCGCCTGGTGGACTACTTCGCTAGTGAAGTCTAATGTCTGATGGTAGTCTTAATGTCTTTACAACCGAAAATTTTTATTTTAAACAGTGTAATATATTTTGATTGATTGGAAAGTAACAATGTAAAATTTGTTAAGAGGCTTCACTGATAAAATCTTTCAATCTAAGTTTAGGATAGGCGCTTGTCTCTCAACTGAAGTGGAGTGAATGGAAGAGGAAGAGCCTTTCTCGTCTGTTTACAGTGCTGGAAAAACCTTGAAGCAATGTGAATCCATGATTCAAAAGGGCCTCCAAACTCCAATTGTAAGATTCTTGAGGGAACGCTTGGAGGAAGCTGGGTGTCCTGTGGCAAACAATTTCTTCAGAGCTGTAAATTGTGAGGCAAATATAAGTGGTGGTTACATTCGTGGTAAAGGGATTATAGTGTGCATGAATAAAATAGATCAACAAGATGAGGTCAACCAAGTGTTAGCTCATGAGCTGATTCATGCATATGATGATTGCCGTGGTGCTAACTTGGATTGGACTAATTGTGCTCATCATGCTTGCAGCGAGATCCGATCCAATCACCTAAGTGGAGACTGTCATTACAAACGGGAACTACTGCGAGGTTATTTGAAAATACGTGGCCATGAACAAGAATGTATAAGACGAAGAGCTATGGCATCGTTGTCTGGAAATCCTAATTGCTCTGAAGCAGCCGCCAAGGATGCTATGGAAGCTGTTTGGGATGTTTGTTACAATGACACACAGCCCTTTGACAGAGCTCCATAAGTTCAGTGGCGTTGGGGCTTGCCAGCTCTATGGAATGATTGTTTTGATTTGTTTTGGATAATTTTTATCTGAGGTAGTAATGCAGGAATGTTATTTACCAATGTAAAATGAAATGTCCATCATTCTACAAAATTCATTAAGTTGGCTATATTCCCCCATAAAGTTGGGTTTCACAATTCAAAAATGGTGAATATTATTACATATAGAGAAGTTCTATTTTCTTCTCTTTCTCAAAGCAGGTGTAAGTATGTTTCAGCTTGCATTCAGAGTTTATTATTATCTGGTTTTATACTTCGTCATCAGGTTCAAACTGTGTGCAGAGAAACATAATGAGATTGGGAACAGGTAGAACAGGTTTTGAACTCTGACCACCAGAAGAGGTTTGATAAACTGTTGGCAGATTAAAGTTTGAGTTACTGTAACAAACAAGTATGAAGGTTCTTGTTTGATGACTTGATCCTGAGTGCATGCTAGACGGTCGGTGAAATGTTGGAAAGGAAATAGACTTATTTGGATGTGTGATTTATGGTAAAGATTAGATTTTGAAACTTCACAAAGAAAAAAAAAAAAAATATTAGTATTGGAAAGAAGATCGTTAGGAAACTATGCAATTATTTCCATGTGATTCTTGGGGTAATTGTTTGCAATTTGATGGTTAGATAGAAATTAATTTATATAGATGATATGTGTGTTGATTTGCTGACCGTAATAGTAAATGAATATCGTTGAAGTATGCTAGATTGAGTTCACAGAAAGTGTTTGATAGAAATTATAAATGAATTGTAGGATGCTGTGGTGAATAGGGTATTGGTTAGACTTGGAAGCATGTATAGAATGGAATAATAAGAGATTTTCGTTTATGCTGGTTTGTATTGTCATTAAAATTGCTAATCAGTTATGGTATATACATTACTAGATAAATTCAATGTTATATCCTATGTGAGGAAAGTTGGAGCCAAGATCTTTCTTTCATGTTTTCTTAATTGTCATGAAAACTAGAATAAAAGTCTAGTTATCAAGAAAAAGATTTTGTTCGACAGGAAAAGGATGTGATGGCGATTTTAATTGTAAATTAAAAAAAAATATGACATGTTATAGTTGATTTTTCACAAATTCTGTATTATTATTATTTTATATAAGGTAATATATAAGGGGAAGTTGGACATTTGATTTATGAAGGTTTTATAAAGTACTCCTCTGATCCTATTCATAAAGTATTTTTAACATGTTTTACACAGATTAAGAAAAACTTTAAACTGCATTAATTCTTCGTTAAAATATAATAACTTTTTAACTTTATCCATATTTAATATATATACACATTTCAAAAAAATAACTACCTATATTATAATAAATGAAAAACAATATAGCACATTCATGGTAAAAATGTAATAAAATGATTTATAAATATGACCCCAAAAAAATTTTCTCTCTCTACCCTATAAATAGGATCAGAGGATTGTAGTATACATACACTCAAGAAGAAAACTTTCACGAATTGCAAAAAATGTTTTCTTTACAAAATTTTGAACATTTTTATGTATTAGGCACAAAGCACCAGTATATTCGTGGCAGGCATGTTTTATTTAGGGAAAACCATATTGGAGGTACCTATACTTTTTTTCAATTTTCAATTTGGTACCTATGTGTTTTTTGTTCTTAACTAAATCTTTATTTTTCCTCTATTAACATTATTAATCCTTATGTAAAGACTAAAAATATCAATAGAATAAAGTTATAAGAGCTAATGTTGCTAAAAAGATAAAATTAAATATTTAATTAAAGGGAAAAAAAACACATAGGTATCAAATTAAAAGTTAAGAGAAAGTATAGGTACCTTCAATATGGTTTTTCCTTTTATTTAAGTTGAACTTATGATGATTTTCTTCTATTTATATTTTTTGTGCAGGCATGTTTATATCAATGACAATGCTATTTTTCTATATTGAAAAAGTCTCATAGTTTGTAAAGATTGGTTGATTAATTTCCGGGAAGTCGAACATTTAAAAAGACATGTTGAATATTTTTTTTCCCCACAAAGATTCATGAAATTAAAGTGTCACTTGATATTAACAAAATAAATCTTACCAATTATAGATGGGAAAAAAGTAAATTAAAAAGGCACCTTATGCTTCGGTCACGCTTTAGTGTATTTGGGGTATCACAAATCAAATTAATTGAAAAAGTCTTATATTAAGTATAAAGATAAATATGATTTTCCCACGCATGTCATTTATATCATAGCGTATTCATGAAAGGTATTTTAATGTAGTCATGAAAATAATTAAATAATTAGAGCATTTACAAATAAAACATTTTCCTCTGAAAGTATTTACAAAGAAAGGGTATAAATAAAATAAAAACATTTTGGGAAAATGACAGTAAAATACCATATGAATTTCAAAAAGACAAATAAGGCACCTGAATAAACAAAATGACAAAGAAGGCATCAGGTACCAATTTAGAATTTTGATTTTTGGTCTAAAGACCGAATTGCCCTTATTATGTTTGAAAACTGAAGAGATAGCGAAAGGTAGAAATTGCCTCCTCCCGGCGAAAGCAATCCCCCCACGCAGCGAAAGAGAAACTGCCCCCACTTGGCGAAACCAATCCACCTACTCGGTGAAACTAATCCCTCCCCTCAGCAAAACTGAACCCCCCTACTCGACGAAACCAATCCCTCCACTCAACGAAACCGAACCCCCCCCACTCCACGAAACTAAATCCAAGCTCCTCTAGTCGCTGAAAAAGGTTCTCCGATTTGCAAGGGGATTTGTATGTAAGGGGATTTGCAAACTATTTTCAGGAAATGTAAAGCTGCCTGATTTTCAAGTATTGTTAAATCATTTGCCCATAATGTTACTACACGTATAACGAGATTTATAACTCGCGAAGTGAATTTGACCACTTCTTCGAGGGGTTTGACAACCTGTTTTAAGAGGCAGTGCAACTTTTCTCTACAAAAATATAATTCCATCCTGAATTTAACAAAACACATAGTGGGATTTACAATTTTCACAGTGAGTGTTACTACATTTTCAATGGGATTTGTAACCTTTTGTGAGGGGCTGGCCAATGTTTCTGTCAAAAACAAAACAATTCCACGCTGAATTTTACAAAACACATAGTGGGAATAACAACTTTCACAGTGAGATTTACTACTTCTTCAATGGGTTTTGCAACCTTTTGTGAGGAGGTGAGCAACTTTTCTGTAAAAAACAAAACAATTCCACGCTGAATTTTACAAAACATATAGTGGGAATAACAACTTTCACAGTGAAATTTACTACTTTTTCAACGGGTTTTGCAATCTTTTGTGAGGAGCTGGGCAACGTTTCTATCAAAAACAAAACAATTTCACACTGAATTTTACAAAATACATATTGGGAATAACAAATTTCACAGTGATATTTACTACTTCTTCAATGGGCTTTGCAACCTTTTGTGAGGGACGAGGTAAATTCTCTATAAAAAACAATATAATTTCACGCTGAATTTTACAAAACACATAGTGGTATTTACAACTTTCATAGTGAGTTACTACTTTGTGTAATGTAATGCACCATTCACGAAACAATATTTGCCAAAAACTAGCAGCCATATAACAGCAGATACATTACATATATTCAAATGATTGCACCTGAAGTACATCAAAGTAAACATTGAACCATTAACTTTCATACTAACTACATGTGTAATGGAACATACTATTCACGTAACAGTATTTACCAAAAACCAGTAGCCATATGACGGTAGATACATTACATATATTCAAATGACTGCACTCTACTCTTGCGACGGTTACCAATTTCACCGAAAACACGTTACTCCTGCGACGACGATAATGTGATTTCGGAGAACCTTTTTCAGTGACTGGAGGAACTTGGATTTAGTTTCGCCGAGTGGGAGGATTGGTTTCTCCGAGTTGGGGGATTCGGTTTCACTAGCTGAGTGGAGGGATTGGTTTCATCAAGTGGGGGGATTCGGTTTTGCCAAGTGGGGGGATTGCTTTCGCCAAGAGGTGGCGATTTCTCCCTTTCTCCATCTCCTCAATTTTCAAACATAATAAGGGCAATTCGGTCATTAGGTCAAAAATCAAAATTTCATATTGGTACCCAATGCCTTATTTGTCATTTTGCTTATTCAGATGCCTTATTTGTCCTTTTGAAATTCACATGGTATTTTACTGTCATTTTCCCAAACATTTTCCTGTGAGAGCTTCCATAAAGCACATGAACTCCAGTCAAAATGGCAAGTCCAAGGAGTGTTTGAGTAAGAATAAAGTTATGGTTTTAGAAGCATTTTTAAGGTATATAAAATAAATATGTAGATGAATTTGTCTCGATTTATGAAAAAATAATTTGAAAACCATTTCTAAAGTAAGCCAAACACTTCCTAGAATCAATTGACTATGAAACCCCTTCCCCACTCACTTGCATATAATCACTTATTCAGTTATTTGTTATGAAGACTTTGGGTAGCACCGTGTCGGACCTGGCCTTGCGGTAGACAAACATAGAAAGCTTGCTTTCTGGAAAATTATGGAATGGGTAGACATGGTTTTGTTAAACAATTGGTCGGTGACCTCTCTTTCCTCGACTCCTCACCCTTTGCAAAGCTTTTGGAATCTTGTATCCGATCAAAATCTGGACTTGACACCCGTCGCATTCATGCTCGAGTCATTAAGACCCAGTTTTCCTCAGAAATCTTCGTCCAGAATAGGCTCATTGATGCCTATGGGAAATGCGGTTGTTTAGATGATGCGCTCAAGCTGTTTGATCATATGCCCCAAAGGAACACTTTTAGTTGGAACGCCATTTTGAGTGCATTGACAAAGTCTGGTAATCTTGATGAGGCTGCAAGGATCTTTCAGTCAATGCCGGAGTCTGACCAGTGCTCGTGGAATGCCATGGTATCAGGCTTTGCCCAGCATGATCGCTTTGATGAAGCTCTGAAACTTTTTGTTGGCATGCATGGTGAGAATTTTGTACTGAACGAGTATTCCTTCGGCAGCGCTCTTAGTGCCTGTGCAGGGTTAGCGGATCTGCATATGGGTGTACAAATCCATGCTCTGATTTCAAAATCTCATTTCTCGTTTGATGTTTACATGGGTTCTGCTCTTGTTGACATGTATGGTAAATGTGGGATGGTGGTCTGTGCTCAGAAAGCTTTCGATGGCATGGTGGAACGGAATATAGTTTCTTGGAACAGTTTGATCACATGCTACGAGCAAAA